TGCCTCAGCCTCCCAAGTAGCTGGGACTACAGGCACACGCCACCATGCCCAGCTAATTTTTGTATTTTTAGTAGAGACGGGGTTTCACCACGTTAGCCAGGATGGTCTTGAACTCCTGACCTCGTGATCCGCCCACATCTGCCTCCCAAAGTGCTGGAATTACAGGTGTGAGCTGCTGTGCCTGGCCCATTTTTGCTTTTATTCTGGCTACTTTGGCTGCAGCATTAGTAGTATCTGTGATTTCATCAGTGGGTTAGGGTGCAGTTATTGGAGTCTGTGGTGAAGTTGTGCTGTGGGATGCCAGGTGGGCCAGTCTACAGGCCCCAATTTTGGCACTGGTGTTCTGAGTATGCCTATCCTTGTGTCCCAGGGTTGGGTATGCTGGCACTGGTGTTGGTGGTTACCAGCACGTTGATTCTTGGGCCTCCACATGACTTGCTCGGATGCTGGCAGTGGTAGTGGTGGACTGGGCAGGCAAGAGGGTTCTTGGGGCCCTGGATAGCTAGCATGGCACAAGTGATGGCAGTAGCAGTGGCAGGATAATTATCTGAGTTCTAAGAGTTGTCCTTTTATGATGGCAGTGGGTGTGATGGGCTGTGTAGGACAGTCTCCAGGACTGCAGGTGGTACTTGCCAGCTGACGTGATGGCAGCTGAGAGTTTAGAACCAACCACAGGACCCCAGAAGGAGTACTCAGGTGCCCAAGGTGCTCTTGTCACCCTCCAAGGCCGCGGGCTATGTGCTGTGTCTCAGAGAAGGGGGTGAAGCTGGGTTGGGTGGGCTTGTGCTCAGGCCCTTCAAAGTGGGAGCAGGCACCAGTCATGGTGGGTAGGGATCAGGGCAATCCTCAGGTCTCAGGTGGAATGCATGGGGGAGGAGTGGTAGTAGTCATGCTGAGGTCCTCCCACTGGAGAGGGGGGTGCTGACCTCTGTGGCTACAGCCTGGGCCAGTAGGTGGGGAACATGTACCTGTCTCATGCTTCGGCCCTGGCGGAGCTTACCCCCCAGCTCTGGCAGCAGCTGGCCACACCTAGCTTGAGCCCTTACCTTGCTGCAGGAGCCCCCAACCAGCTTGTGACTAAGCCCCAGTGGCAACTTGTGCCTGTTTTCATCCCAGTCTCAGTCCTGGCAGCACTCACTTACCAGCATTGAGAGCTGCAGCCCATGCCTCACTTGATTCTCAGTCTCGGCTGTGGGAGTTCATTCCCAGTTTGTGCCCTAGTCTCGCAGCAATAGCTTGGGTTTCTCTAATGGTGCTGCTGGCCGCCAGGATAGCATGTGCATCTGCCAAAGACTAGGATTTAAAATGGTGCCTTGCTGTAACTGTTTGGATCTCAGAAAAAGTATGGGACCCAGCATGAGTTCCCTTCTTGGGACAGTTTTGTCCCCCATTCCCCTGGCAGCTTCCTATGTATGTTTTCAGGACTTAGGAGGGTTGAGGAACTCTCTCGCGGCCAGGACTGCATGATTCCATGGTGGGAATGAGGGCCACCGGAAGTCTCTCACTTAGTCTTTCCCCACATTGAGAAGTCACTCTTGGCTGCCAGCTTATCCTAGCCAAGCAGTCTGCCTCTCCTCCTCTTTCCTTGCTTTTGGTGTTTCCTGTAACTTTTCTGTTGAGTTCCAGTGTTCTCTTGTGGATAATGTATTCAAAGTGTGACTGTATATACATGATTTTGGTTCTTCTAAGTGGAGGAGGTAAGCATGAAATGCTTCTGGTCAGCTCTCTTGAAGCCCTTCCCCCTCCTTTTAGGTATTCTAGTTCCTTTGACTTTTCTTATAAAATTTAGGAAAAACTTATCTATGTTAACAAAAAACTTGCTAGACTATCGATAGGAATTGCATTAAACCTATATATCAATTTGGGGGAGAACTGGCATCTTAACTGTTGAATCTTCTAATGCATGAACACAGTGTGTCTCTCTATTTATTTAAATCTTCTTTGACTTCATTTAGCATTGTGGAGTTTTCCCTATACAAACCCTGAATATATTTTGTTAGATTTACACCTATTTTTTTCAGTGATTATAATTTTTAATGTCTGTGTATGTGTTTGTTGCGTGTATATAGAAATATAATTTTGTTGCTGAGACGGAGTCTTGCTCTGTTGCCCAGGCTCGAGTGCAGTGGTGCAATCTCAACTCTCTGCAACCTCCACCTCCTGGGTTCAAGCGATTCTTCTGCCCCAGCCTCATGAATAGCCGAGATTACAGGCATGCACCACCACGCCCAGCTAATTTTTGTATTTTTAGTAGAGATGGGGTTTTGCCATGTTGTTCAGGCTGGTCTCGAACTCCTGAGCTCAGGTGATCCGCCTGCCTTGGCCTCCCAGAGTGCTGGGATTACAGGCGTGAGCCACTGTGCCTGGCCTAGTTTCGGATTTTTTTTTTTAAGATTCTGTGGGATTTTTCTACATAGCATATCATGTCATTTGCATATAGGGCAAGTTTTACTACTTCCTTTATAATCTGTATTTCTTTTACTTCTTTTGCTTGCCTTATTACAGTGGCTAGAACTTTCAGTAGTATGTTGAATAGGAGTGATAAGAGTGTACATTTTTGCCTGTTCCTGATCTTGGAGAGGAAGCATTCAGTCCTTCACCATTAAGTAAGATGTTAGCTGTAGGTTTTTTGTAGATGGTCTTTATCAAGTTGTGGTAACTCCCTGCTGCTCTAACTTGAAGAGAGTTTTTGGTTCTGTCTTGGTTTTTCTTTTTTTTTTTTTTTTTTGAGATGGAGTCTTGCTTTGTCGCCCAGGCTGGAGTGCAATGGTGTGATCTCGGCTCACTGCAACCTCCATCTCCCAGGTTCAAGCAAGTCTCCTGACTCAGCCTCCCAAGTAGCTGGAATTACAGGCGTGCGTCACCACACCCAGCTAATTTTTCTATTTTTAGTAGAGACTGGGTTTCACCATGTTGGTCAGGCTGATCTCAAACTCCTGACCTCAGGTGAGCCGTTCCAAAGTGCTGGGATTACAGGCATAAGCCACCGCACCAGGCCTGTTTTGTCCTATTTTTCATAATGAATGGATGTGGGTTTTGTAAATCCTTTTTCTGTGTCAATTGATATGATTTATGATTTTATTCTTTACTTTATTGACATGGTAAATTACATTAACTGATTTTCAAATGTTGAACTAGCCCTGCATACCTAGAACAAATCCCACGTGGTCATAGTATACAGTTCTTTTTGTACATTGTTGAATTTGGATTGCTAATATTTTGTTGAAGATTTTTGTCTAAGTTTATGAGATATATTTTTATGTAGTTTATGTATATATTTTCCTTGTCTAATTTTGGTATCACAGTAATACTGGCCTCATAAACTAAGCTGGAAACTGTTCTTTCCTATTCTGTTTCAGAGGAAATTGCATTTTGTTGATGTTGTCTTCTTTAAATGTTTGGTAGCATTTTCCATTAAAACCATATGTGCCTGGAGATTTCATTTCTGAGAGCTTTAAGTTATATAATTAAATTATGTTAATTAATAAATGGATTTGTTGACATAATTTAATTATGTAATTACATTAACTAGTTTTATAAAACGTAGCTTTATATTTATATGGCTTTATATTCCCCAAATAGCTGGCTAGAGAATTTTTTATTTTTATTTACCAGAGGAAGGTGTCAGAGGGGACCATTCCCTGTCCTCCTGTACCACTCCACCCCTTTTCCTTTCCATCCCTTGGGTGATTTCAAGCTTGGGGGTGGGTGGGGTCAGGAAGCCTGCCTTGTGGGTGCTCCCGGTGTTTCCCCACAGAACAGACCATGGATGCTGAGGGTGAGGTGGAGGTGCATCACTAGGGCCCTACATTAGCGAAGGAGCAGGGAAACCAGGTGGGGTGTCCCCAGCAGCCTTCCATCCCTTTGTGGTCACAGGGCTTGATAACGAACAGCAAGTGCCAATCTGGAGATAGGCACAGAGATGAAAAGTCTCGAATGAGGACTCTAGCCCCACCCCTACTATGCTGTAGATGTTATCACTGTACTATAACAGCAAAGGGAGGCAGGTGTTGGGCATTTAAAGAGGAGCACAGCAGAGAGTTCAGACTGTACCTTAGGGTGACATGTGAGGATGAAGTGTTTGGCTTTGTGACTGCCCAAAGTCCTTATGAGCAGGTTCACCTTCATAGGGCTCTTTCGTTCTCTACAAATCATAGTCCCACTGTGTGCATACTCTGGGCACACTGTGTCTGGGCACACTCTGGGCATACTGGTGTCCCAGACTGACTCAGGGGCCTGCAGTCTTTCTGGGGTGGAGTCGCAGAGCTGGCTTGGTGTCCCACTTGAATGGACTCTCTCCACGGCAGATCTGAGCCTGTACTTCCCACCTGGCAGCTGATGCCCCATTTGGCCTTGCTGAGGGACATGAAAGGATGTGCTTTGGCATCTGAGGATGGCAGTGGCAGGAGAGGGAGGTGATGAGAATGTTGTGGTAGTCTGCATGGGTTTTCCATGAATGATTAAGAGGCTCATGTTTATGCAACTTGCTTAAAGCCACATAGTAAGTGGCAGAGTCACTGGATCCTGGTCAGTCTAACAGAAGAGTCATAAATAATGTGACTCAGTTTTCTCATTTGTACAATGGAAAAACTAATGGTCTTTACCTCCCAGTATGGTCATGAGAATTCAATGAGACAATCATGTAAAAATCCAGCACATGGCCTAGATAGAACATGGTAAGTATTAGATAAATATTAGTCATTATTAATATTGATATGTCATTTATCAACAAAGTCAGAATTACAATGATGGTACCAAAAATTTAGCATTAACATGAGTATGATAAAATTAGAATTGTTTCTGGTTTATAAACATGTGAGGCCTTTTTTTTTTTCCTGGAGACAGAGTCTCATTCTGTCATCCAGTCTGGAGTGCAGTGGCACAATCTTGGCTCACTGCAACCTCCACTGGTGAGGCCCTTCATTAGACATTAATTTGAAGCTGTGGCATTCTCCCACTATGAGCCCACCTGTCAGCCTGGCTATCTGCCTTGATCCTAGATGAAGTGGCCATTCTGCCTGCCCCTCAGAACCTCTCTGTACTCTCAACCAACATGAAGCATCTCTTGATGTGGAACCCAGTGACCGTGCCTGGAGAAACAGTGTACTATTCTGTCGAATACCAGGGGTGAGTTTTTTTTGTTTTTTTTCCTCTTATTTTTAATAGTTCTTCTCCCTTAGGCAGAAGTTGGTTCCTGAAGGCATAGCCCTTCCTCCTGAGCCCAAGGTGGCTTTTTGAGTCCAGGGATAGATTATCCCCAATGATCTACCCCCTCTGTCTGCATAGGCATTGAAAGAGTTGAAGAAGCAAGGGAAATTGTTCTGTGGATTTGACAGTGAACTCTCTGGGAAGACGAATGTGCCTAACACCTTTTGGTGGAGTTCTTTTAAAAAGTGAATCAACTGTTCAACGGGTTTGACTCTGACTTGAGATGGGTAAATCATTGGAGACTCAGATCCTTTAAGGGTGGAGGAGTCCTCACTTTTCCTGACTGTAAGTTTATACCTAGAGCCAAAACAAACTATAACCCTAAAGGTCAGCTGGCCCTGGGGCCAAGCAGGCTCTAGTCTTCTCCAGGTGACCAGGTACTTGCAGCTATTGAAGATTGATAAGGACATAGAAATTGCTCCATATATTTCATTAACAATGAGTACAGGCTAAGCACCTACATGTGTAGATATTCTTCTAGGCTCAGGGATACAGTTGACAAGGTTTCTGGATTTTGAGAGCTTACATCTAGAGGAGGATACAGATGGTAAATATATTAGGCCAGCATTCCCTAGTATGGTGGCCACCAGCCACAGCTGGTTATTTAAATTTAAATTAAATTAAATTAAAATATCTGTTTCCTGCCACACTGGTCACATTTTAGGTGTTTAATAGCCACATGCGGCCAGTGGCTACCATATTGAACAACATCGATTTAGAATATTTGCATCATCACAGAAAGTTTATTTTTGGAAAGCACTGCTCTAGGGAATTTTGGACAGTAATCAGTGCTAGGAGGAAGCTAAAAGGCTGATACCATAGAGAGTTGACGCTGAGTCTCCTTTATATTAGATGGCCTGGGATGGCCTCTCTGAGGAGGTGATATTTATGCCATGTCTGAAGGACAAGAGGAGCTGGCCATGCGAACCGCAGGGGCAGAGCGTTTGAGATGGAGTGAACAGCTAGTCAAAGGTCCTAAGGCAAAAAGTGCTCAGCATTTCGGAGAAATGACCAGTGTGGCAAGAATATCATGCTTAGGAGCTGAGTGAGAGAGAAGGCCAAAGCATCTTGTAGGCCACTGGCAAGAGTTTGGATCCCGTTCTAAGTCCTGTAGGAAGCCAGTAAGGAGAGAAATGCCATGATCTGCTGAGTGGTGAATGGTTTCGAGAATGGCAGGTGTGCAAGCTGGGAGACCACGGCAAGGCAAGGAATGACAGTGGCTGAGATTAGGGTGATGACCCTGGAGATGAAGAGGTAAGAGATACAGACACATTGATGTTTATGCCTAGCTTTCCCCATCTGGCGATAAAAGGAGTAAGGGAGAACGGATGGTTGGTAGGGAGGAGAGTGGAGGAGCTGGGATAATGAGCAAGTACTTACTTTACTTACCTGTACAAAGTAGGAGAATGAAGGCAGTCACTTGCAACCATAACAGAGCCTGTGTCAGAGGGGCTGGTGTAACTCTGTGCCCTCCTCTCTTTGACAGGGAGTACGAGAGCCTGTACACGAGCCACATCTGGATCCCCAGCAGCTGGTGCTCACTCACTGAAGGTCCTGAGTGTGATGTCACTGATGACATCACGGCCACTGTGCCATACAACCTTCGTGTCAGGGCCACACTGGGCTCACAGACCTCAGCCTGGAGCATCCTGAAACATCCCTTTAATAGAAACTCAAGTAAGGTCCTTCTCTCTTTACACTCCCACCCCCACCAGCCACTCCTTTGGGAACCATGTTCACCTAGACTTTCTAGACTTTTTTTTAACATCAAAATAGTCCTGCAAAGCCAGGGTATTGTGAACACAAACAACCCTTACTGGTCCATTTGAAAAACTGCCAACTGCTTTCTATGTGCTGTTCTCTCTCATGCCCTTTAACTTTGCAAGTCATTCCTGATTGTCTGTGTCAGGGAGTGCAGGTGTTGGGGATGCTGACACTGGGAACCTGGAAGGAAAGCCGCTCTGGAAGTGAAGAGATGGCACCAGGACTGCTGCTCCCTACCCTGATTGTGCCTCCATATATCTTACACTGCCTCCCACTTGATGCCTCATTAACTGCATATTTACTGCCCATGTCATCAGCTTTGTTGTGTAAGAGGATTTATACATTTAACAGAGCCACCGGAAAATTGCCCGTCTATAATGACTTTTGTGGGAAATAAATAACTTTTCTTTTAGAGTGGTACCTGGAAAAGGATTGAGAAAGAAATAATAGAGGAATCCAGATAGGTGGCCAAATATGGCTGAGTACAAGCACTGGCCATTGTGTAAAAGGACGTGTGTGTTTGGGGAACAGAGGAGGCAAGAGCTGATGGGCAGGGGGTAAGGAAGCAGCTGATCATGTGGTGAAGGGCTCTGACATGAAGCTTGATCAAGTCAGTAGAGGGGAGCCATGAAAAATGAGAGGATCTAGATCAGGTATATCCTTTTTTTTTGATATGGAGTCTCACTCTGTTGCCCAGGCTGGAGTGCAGTGGCGCGATCTCGGCTCACTGCAACCTCCACCTCCTGGGTTCAAGTGATTCTTCTGCCTCAGCCTCCCAAGTAGCTGGGACTACAGGCACGCAACACCATTTTGGCCAGGCTGTTCTTGAACTCCTGACCTCAAGTCATCTGCCTGCTTCGACCTCCCAAAGTGCTGGGATTACAGGCATGAGCCACTGTGCCCGGCCGACCAGGTCTGTCTTACAAAACAACTACTCTGACTGCTGTGTGGAAAGTGAACCAGAGTAGGGCAAGCCTGCAGGGCAGGGGAAGAGCAAGGAGGGGGTTGTAATAATCCTACTGATCCCAAGAGTTTGGAAGGGGATGGGAAGGAGATGATGAATCCAAGAAACATGACTGATTTAGAAAGGACAGAGCTTAGGGACCAAGTTTGTGGGGATGGAGAAGGGAGAGAGAATGATGGTGTCCAGCTGCCGATTGGAGTTGGTGAGAACACCAACTAAGGCCGCTGGTCTTGAAGAATAGGAGACACCCCAGGTTTTGAGAATGAGATTTCTGCAAGATGTCATGTCATGGATGTCTGATTGGCAGCCAGAAATCAGTCTCTGAGGCTCAGAAAGCTTAAAGCCAGATACATAATACAAAGTGGTTTTGTTCGTTTGTTTGTTTTATTTTGTTTTTGAGGTGGGGTCTTGCTCTGTTGCCCAGGCTGGAGTGCAGTGGCGCCAACACAGCTCACTGCAGCCTTGACCTCCTGGGCTCAAGTGATCCTCCTGCCTCAGGCCCCCAAGAAGCTGGGACTATAGGCACATGCCACCACACCTGACTAATTTTTTTTTTGTATTTTTGTAGAGATGGGGTTTCACCATGCTGCCCAGGCTGGCCTCAGACTCCTGAGCTCAAGTGATCTTCTTGCCTCAGGCTCACGAAGTGCTGGGATTATAGGAATGAACCATCACAAGGGGCCATCACAAAGTTAACAGCTAAAGGTTTGGAGGTAGATGAGACTGTCTAGGGACAAGATGTTGAAGATGGAGAGAGGACAAGGTCCTGGAAAACCTCAGACTTTAAAATGTGGGTGGAGGGAAGGGCACCAGGGTAGAGAATCATGGTAGGGAGAATAGAACAGCTCCTAAGAGGCTGAAGGAAGCCCCTGGATGGGCCCTTGAGAAAGTAACTTCATGGAGTGGAGAGGATGACCATCTGGCTGCTGGGGTGGAGGACTGCATGGAGGTAGGAAGGGGCAAGGAATGGGTGGGAATGTAACCAATTTAGAGCTGCAGGAAAGGCAAAATAAGGGTCTTCCTCAGCCTCTGTTTTTGTGATGTGGCAGAAGAACTTCTCTTGTGAGTAATGGTGGAGGAAGGTTTGGGTCAGAATTTGCAGCATTTGGATGAGTCAAAGGTTACTGAGGAGTGTATGATATTAGATGGAAATTAGGAAGGTTTAGAAGGTGGGGAGCCCAAGCTGAAGAGCAGAGGAGGGAAGGGATGGGGCAGGAATAGGACCATTGGAATGGGATAACAAAAGGAATTTTGGTGCAGATCATGGGCTCCTTTGCCCAGGCCTCCTTCCCAGGCACCAGGACTGAAATGGAATGGAATGGAGTGACTTCATAGAATGGAGAGGATGATCATCTGGCTGAATTTGTTCCAGGAGGAGTTGGTCGAAGTGGCAGGATCTGGGGGAGATTAATGGGCCCTGGAGGGCACTGCAAAACTGCCACTACCTGCAGTGCCCAGGCAGCACCCAGCACCATCTCCCTCTGGCTCCTAAGAGCATAGGGATCCAGCCAAGACCATTGCTGGGGGCTGGCAGCTGTTGTTGGAAAGCAGGCATGGGTCACATAAAGATAAGGGAGTGCCTGCAAAACTATGTGGGTGGGGATGTGCTGTAACACCTTGTACTTAAGGAGGCCAGTATAAACAGGAAAAGAGCTTGCTGCAGGGGGAGCTGAGGTACAGGAGTCTGTACTTGCATCAGAAGACGGAAGATAACGGTTCTATGAGATCCCTCTGTGATCCAAGCAAATGAACTGGGGTGGCATCATGATCTCTTAAAGGTATTAAGTTTGTCCTCTTCCATTTGAAAAAGGCCACTCAGACCTCTCTGCAGAAATATGAAAAATCTTGATTTAAGGCTCTCCTGAAAAGGATCGCTACTCTCTCTCTCTCTCTTTTTTTTTTTTTTTTGAAGCGGAGTTTTGCTTTTGTTGCCCAGGCTGGAGTGTAATGGCACGATCTTAGCTCACTGCAACCTCCGCCTCCTGGGTTCTAGTGTTTCTTCTGCCTCAGCCTCCCAAGTAGCTGGGATTACAGGAATGTGCCACCATGCTTGGCTAATTTTGTATTTTTAGTAGAGACAGAGTTTCTCCATGTTGGCCAGGCTGGTCTCCAACTCCTGACCTCAGGTGATCCCAAAGTGCTGGGATTACAGTGGGATTACAGGCATGAGCCGCTAGGCCTAGCTGAGGGTCCACATTCTTAAAGGGAAGCTTTACTGAGAGCAAAGATTTTTTTTTTTTTTTTTTGAGACGGAGTCTCACTCTGTCACCCAGGCTGGAGTGCAGTGGTGTGATCTTGGCTCACTGCAAGCTCCACCTCCTGGGTTCACGCCATTCTCCTGCCTCGGCCTCCCGAGTAGCTGGGACAACAGGTGCTCACCACCTCGCCCAGCTAATTTTTTGTATTTTTAGTAGAGATGGGGTTTCACTGTGTTAGCCAGGATGGTCTCCATCTCCTGACCTCGTGACCCGCCCGCCTCGGCCTCCCAAAGTGCTGGGATTACAGGCATGAGCCACCGCGCCCGGCCCGAGAGCAGAGGTTTTTAATTTTGCACATTCGAGTCACAGGGGAGCTTTGGAATCACTTTTGCCTGGGGCCCTTCCACAGAGAGTCTGGTTTAAATGATCTGCATGCATCTTGTTCACTGGGAGTTTAAAATTCTTCCCAGATTATTTTCATGTACAGCCAGGGTTGAGATCCACTAGTAAAGAGACTAAACACCCCACACAAGGGAGGTAGAAATGTAGAAAGAAATGGGCTCACATTCTGTAGATTAACTCTGTGACTCTGGGCATGTCACTTAATCTCTCTGTAAAACAGGAACAATGTTAGGCTGGGCGCGGTGGTTCACTTTGGGCGCGGCACTTTGGGAGGCCGAAGTGGGTGGATCATGAGGTCAGGAGATCGAGACCATCCTGGCTAACACAGGGAAACCCCATCGCCTGTAGTCCCAGCTACTTGGGAGGCTGAGGCAGGAGAATGGCATGAACCTGGGAGGCGGAGCTTGCAGTGAGCCAAGATCACACCACTGCACTCCAGCCTGGGTGACAGAGCGAGACTCCATCTCAAAAAACCGCCCCCACCCGCCCCCCCCCATAAAAAAACAGGAACAGTGTTTACCCTCTAAAGCTTCCTGGGCAGATTAAATGAGATAAGCATGCAGAAGGCATAGGACAGAGGTTCCTGCCCTAACGCTGTCGAACAACTCTCCTCTGAACTGAAGCTTCAGATTATTTTCTCTAATTCTGGTCTTAATAAAGATGGAGATCAGAAGACCCAATTCTAATCATATCTGACAGAAAAGTCGAGGAGTGAAATATCTGTTTCCCTTCTGGAGGTGTTTCAGAGGTAGTGCTAGTGGTGCTGTGTGGTCATATGAATCTCAGCACTGAGTGTGTTTTGCACAGTTGGCCCTGACTTCCCAAGTCCTCCTGACCCCTATCCAGGTAGCTCTCCAACAGCCAAGCATGTACACTTCTCTGATGAGGGAGGCGAGGGGGAAAGGCACTGCCTTTCTTCTGAGTGTCCGCTGACCCCAGGGAAGGCAGATTTAGCCCAGAGCATGCCCCAGCCCACTTTCCAATCCAAGACCAGTGATCAGGGTGGCCCTTCTGGTCCTGCAGTCTCTGGGTCGGAGAGGCAGGTATAACTCCATCACCAGTAACCAGGGTGTAGAGACTATCTGTGTGGGCCCTTCTGCTCTTGGTCTGCTGATGGTAAGGAATTCACACAGGCTGTGGGCCTCTCTGCTGGGGACCTTGCAATATGAAAGATAATGTTTGTGCTTATGCTGTAATTTCTAGAGTTGATTATTGGAATCTGTAAAAAGCCTGTGGGCTGGGCGCATTGGCTCACTCCTGTAATCCCAGCACTTTGGGAGCTCGAGGTGGGCAAACTGCTTGAGCCCAGGAATTAGAGACCAGTCTGGGCAATGTGGTGAAACCCCATCTCTACAAAAAATACAAACAATTAACTGAGTGTGGTGATGTGTGCCTATAGTTCCAGCTACTTGGGAGGCTAAGGTGGGAGGATTACCCGAGCCTGAGAGTTCGAGGCTACAGTGAACCATGCTAGTGCCACTGCACACTCCAGCCTGGGTGACAGTGAGACCCTGTCTGAAAAGAAAAAAAAAAAGCTGGTAACTTGCCAGCATCCCTTACTCAGGATATGAGATGAAAAATAGAATTGGGCTGAGAATAGAATGGCCAGCCGTATTCATGGGCTGCTCATCTGCTGATATGGGAAAGTTGTCAGTAGCCAGTACATGCCACAGATCTATGTGAGTTGTGGGAATGCACATGGCCCCGCCAGCTATGCTCATTCCTAGGGGGCAAAGACCGGGCCTGGTTGTTCAGTATAGACCTGAGCTCACATAGGCATTTGGCAAGCATTAAAATATAGCATCTGCTCACTTAGATGAGCCAAAATGAGGAGCAATTTCTGCTGAAAAAGTGGTGACAGGAGGGGCATGGATCATAAAATTTTAAAAGAGCAAGAGATAATGTTTACTGGAGTTTTTAATCACTTTTCTTGTGTATATGTGCCTCCTGGAGAAGGAACAGTGGACTTCGTTAAAGGATTAAAAAAGAAGAGAATTATAGTATTTGTCATTTGTTTTTTCATTCATTCATCACTCAAAAAGCACCTGAGCATACAGCACCTGAGCACCTGCTGCATACAGGAGCGTATTTGTGTACATGTTTCCATGAGCTTGAAGCTATAGCTGACTCCCTCCCTTCCCTACAGAGACTGGTATATTTCCATAGATGTCACGGTCATTGTGTTCCAGGGAAATCAGCCCTGTCTGGGACTGGCTTTGACTCTCCTGTTGTCTTGCCAACAGCCATCCTTACCCCACCTGGGATGGAGATCACCAAAGATGGCTTCCACCTGGTTATTGAGCTGGAGGACCTGGGGCCCCAGTTTGAGTTCCTTGTGGCCTACTGGAGGAGGGAGCCTGGTGCCGAGGTGAGACTCCAGCCTTGGCCTTTGAGTCAGGCTTCGGGAAAGAAGGCACAGATCTCTGAGGGTGAGCAAGGGCAGGCGGCCCCTGCAGTGCTCACTGGGTGACCTGGGGATGAGCAGTTCTGGGTGAAGTGTGCAAAAGATGGGTATGCTGACCACCCCATCAGTCTCTTCTCCAAAGAACTGCCTTGGTCCATTCAATCATTCCTTGGCCGGGAGCCTTTCCAGGTCAGATCTCCTGAAGTGTGGGGCTGCCCCCTTACCCTAAACTCTAACCTAGCTGGACCCACAATATCTTTTCAATGCCTTTTTTCTCCCTCATCAGCTCATCTCCTCAGCCACTTAGGGGCAGCAGTCAGGATTTCTAGATCAACAGGATGATTTCAAAAGCACACAAGGCTGGTACAAACCTCCTGAGGGTGTGTATCTTGGCAGGATGAAGAGGTAGAGGCAGGGCTCCAGGAGCTGGCTTATGAGTAAACCCATCTAACTATGAGCAGGTGGGCCACGCAGAATGCCCAGGTGGGGTGCTGCCTTCCCCATGGGAAGGGTCCTACAGCCTGGGATGGCTGGGAGGCCAGCCCTCACAGAGGGACTAGCCAGACAAGCAGCAGCAGTACAAGGAGTGGAGCATGAGCAGGAACTAGGGGACACTCAGACCTGTCGAGACTCTGTCCAAGCATATGGTGACAAAGCTTAGAGGCCCACTCCAGGCAGCACAAGCAAAGACAGGCTTTATCACAAGGATTAATACAGTGCAATAAGGAGCTCTCACAGATCTATGAACAGAGCTGGCACAGGGCCAGGCTACAGCCTCGCTTCCCCAGAGCCCTTGCTCCCCTGTGGTGGGTCCCTGCTCTTGCACACTTTCTGTGGCCCTTTCCTAGCTTATTCCAGGCTGTGATCCCTCATCAATGCTTCCTACTCATGCCTATGATGTGCCCCCCAGCCCCTCCAGGCCTCTTAGGCCTGACTCCTCCTCACTGTGTCCTCTCTCCTTTGTCCCTGCTTCTAGCTCTCGGTATTCAGTTTCCCAAGACCAAATCCTCAGAAGAAGAATCCAATTGGTCTTGCTTGTCTTATCAGGCCAAGCTTCAGGGGTTGCTGGTAGCCAGCTCGCCCCTGATTGGACCTTTCTCAGGCCAAGGGTACCCTTGATCTTATAGCAGTATCTGGACTCAGAGCACGCGCCTCACCACCCATTCAAAGAGGGCTGTAGGTTGGGTAGCTTCCCATGAAAGGTGGTGTGGGCAGGTACAACACTGGGTTTCAGTATTTACCCCTGCTAGGCAAGAGCCCACTGTAGGATATGGCATTGCCAGCCAGGCAGATGGAGTAGTGTTGGGGACAGGGCAGAGCCTGTGCAGGAGGAAGCATGCAGCTCCCTCAGATTCGTTGGAATGGAGCCCACTACCCACCCTAGGTAACTGGCAGTGCCAGGGCTAAGAGGGGAGCATATACCCTGAGTCATCTAGGCTTGGTTCAGGCAAGCCTCCACAGGTTCAGATGAGGAGCACAGCCTTAGGGAGGGGCATGGAGGTGGAAGGGTGAACAGATGGATGGACAGATGGGTGGATGAGTGAGGAGGTGCTGCTCATGGCTCTACTGCACTGACTCCCTGGCAGCAGTGGCCATGCCAAGCCCCCGCTCAAGTCAGGGTCTCTGCACAAATGTTACCCTATCAGAGAAGCCTTCTCTAACCACTCTGTTTAAAATGGTGCCTCCTCGTTACCATCCCTTTGCTCTGCTTTTCCCTTCACGGTCCTTATCACCACCTGATGTGTACTTTTTCATCATCTGTCTCACCCCATGTAAGCTCTATGAGAGTAATAACTTTGTCCATTTTGTTCAATGCTAGGTCCCTGTGCTTAGAGCAGTGCCTAGCACATAGTAGGTACTTAATAAATATGGTTGAATGAATGTATGCATAAGTGAGAGGGAACATTCTGTGTGCATCTGGAAAGGAAGTATCTGCAACTTTCCTTTGGCACTTTTTGCTCTTTCCAGTCCTGCTGCCTTCTGGGAATAACTTTTCTTTTTCCTTTTTTTGAGATAGAGTCTCACTCTGTCGCCCAAACTGGAATGCCGTGGCATGATCTTGGCTCATGGCAACTTCTGCCTCCTGGGTTCAAGCAATTCTCCTGCCTCAGCCACCTGAGTAGCTGGGATTACAGGCACCTGCCACCATGCCCGGATAATTTTGTATTTGTAGTAGAGGCGGGGTTTCACCATGTTGGACAGGCTGGTCTTGAACTCCTGACCTCAGGTGATCCGCCCACCTCAGCCTCCCAAAGTGCTGGGATTACAGGCGTGAGCCACCACACTTGACCAATAACTGTGTTTTCTGGTCTCTCAAAGGAACATGTCAAAATGGTGAGGAGCAGGGGTATTCCAGTGCACCTAGAAACCATGGAGCCAGGGGCTGCATACTGTGTGAAGGCCCAGACATTCGTGAAGGCCATTGGGAGGTACAGCGCCTTCAGCCAGACAGAATGTGTGGAGGTGCAAGGTAAGGCTGGTTTCTCTGTCCCTGGAGCCCTGCACAGGTCATAGCCCCTCCTGGCATATCTCAGAGGCCTGCTGGGTTCCTTTGGTTCTGAGTTTTCCCTTGATTTCACTGACCTCCCTCATGGACCGGGTGGGTTCCCATGGTGAAAGTATGTTTGTCACTCTGATTCCCTAGAGGTGGGAGTCCACCCTGGGGCTGGGTGGGGTTACGAGCAGCTGTCTGAAACACTTTCCCCCTTAAAGCTTCCTAGGCCTGGGCGCCAGGTGTTGCAAGACTGGTTTACCAGATAGTTACTGCCTGAGAATCAGAGCCGGCTGCAGGAGAGGCAGTCACAGGCTTCAGAGGGTCAGGCCTTGGAAGGAGGCACTACCTTGTATAACGCCACAGCCTTCTTCATCTAGAAGGGACCTTATGGAAAGTCTAGAGAATCCTCGTTTGAATTACTCTTTTCCCTTGAATATTTTAAGGTCAGAAAACCTACAATGTTTAAAAACCCTTTGAAAAGAAGCAAAACCAAATAAGAGCCTACATCCCATGATCTGTCACTTAAACGTCACTAGTTACATTTTTGTGTATAGCCTTTTAGTCTTAAAAAAAAAATTATCTTTTTTAAAAGACTAATTATTACCTTAATTTTGTAGTACATGTATTTATTTATTTTTCTTTCTAAAAAAATTTATTTTATTTCATATGTAGAGACAAGGTCTTGCTCTGTTGCCTGGGTCTTGGCCTCCCAAAGAGCTGAGATTCCAGGTGTGAGCCACCACACCCGGCTCATTGAGGGCATCATCCTTCAGTCATTCCCATGTGTAGGCACATCCTGTAGTCCTATAACATACATTTTATGCCTGCTTTTTCACAAATATCATATGCATAACATTTTTCATGCAGATTTCCTGATTACTATTTTATACTACTTTATAAAATCATACAAGTCAAGCTTGCTTAACAATCCAAACAACACCAAAGCACATAAAGTAAGGGGTAGGACCAGGCATGGTGGCTTGCAGCTGTAATCCCAGCACTTTGGGAGGCTGAGGCAGAAGGATTGCTTGAGCCCAGGAGTTGAACACCAGCCTGGGCAATATAGCGAGACCTCGTCTCATTTTAATAAATAAATAAATGAAGAGATGAGTGTGCCCCATTCTTCGGCATATTACACAGGAGGTTTCCGTCAGTGAGTTTGGTGTTTAATCTTCCAGGCGTTGTCTGTGTGGTACCAATGCTCACACACATAGATGGGATGATATTGTACCTACTACTCTGTACTTGGTTTGTCTTCACTCAGTAGTATATTGTGAACATCTTTTCATGTCAATACATATGGATCTACCTCATTTTTTAAAATTATACTTTAAGTCCTAGGGTACCTGTGCACAACGTGCAGGTTTGTTACATATGTATACATGTGCCATGTTGGTGTGCTGCACCCATTAACTCTTCATTTACATTAGGTATATCTCCTAATGCTATCCCTCCCCGCTCCCCCCACCCCACAGCAGACCCCGGTATGTGATGTTCCCCATCCTGTGTCCAAGCGTTCTCATTGTTCAATTCCCACCTATGAGTGAGAACATGCGGTGTTTGGTTTTCCGTCCTTGTGATAGTTTGCTCAGAATGGTGGTTCTACCTCATTTTTAAAGGTCTGGGTGTGGTGGCTAATGCCTGTAATCCCAGCACTTTGGGAGGCTGAGGCAGGTGGATCAACTGAGGTCAGAAATTTGAGACCAGCCTGACCATTGTGGTGAAACCCCATCTCTACTAAAACTACAAAAATTAGCCAGGCATGGTGGCGCATGCCTGTAATCCCAGCTACTGGGAAGGCTGAGGCATGAAAATCGCTTGAACCCAGGAGTCAGATGTTGCAGTGAGCCAAGATTGCACCACTACACTCTAGCCTGGGTGACAGAGCAAGATTGTCTTTAAAAAAAGCATATGTGTATGTCAATATATGTAAATGAAAGGCTACTGCTCTAGCTCAGATGTTGCTAAGAACTGACTTATAGATATAGTTGTTTCCTCCTTGGGATTAGTTTTTGGAATTAAAATTTCAGGAGTTGGGGAGAAGTGAGGATATGGGCACAAAGAAAAGAGAAAGAATGAATAAGACCTACTATTTGATAGCTACAATAGGGTGACTATAGTCAACAATAATCGAATTGTATATTTTAACGTCAGTTAAAGAGTGTAATTGTATTGTTTGTAACACAAATGATAAATGTTTGAGAGGATGGCTACCTATTCTCCATGATGTGCTTATTTCACATTGCATGCCTGTATCAAAACATCTCATGTACCCCATATACACCCACTATATACTACAAAAATTAAAAATTAAAAATTGCAGGAGTGGATGAAAGGGTATGAACATTTGTGTATCTCTTGATGCGTACCACCAAAATATATTCCAAAATCAATGAAACAATGTACAATGCCCCCAGCCACAAGTCCACCAGCTTCTCCAGTCTCATTGACTGGGCTACCCTTCACATTGCAGGTGAGTAGCCTGGCCCACAGAGGCTAATTGTGTTGCTCAAGAGAGATGGGAAAATAACCTGTACCCTCTTCCACATCTCCAGATGCTCAAATCTGGCCTTTTCTGCTACAATTATTTGGTAGAATGACTGTGAGCTTTGGAGCCAGTCCTATCTGGGTAACCTGGAGTAGGCCACTTAACTATTCTGAGCATAGATTCCTCTTCTCTAAAAGCAGGGGTACTCACACTCATTGTGAAGAACAAGCAACTACACATCCAGCCCCTAGCATAGTTCTGGAAAGCAACAGTAGCCCTAGCACACAAAATAGGGGCTTGATATATTGTAGTTATTTTCTGACTGTTTTCTGAACCATTTCCTCCATAACATGAATCAATGCCAAGAGTGAATTGTGAAACATACTTTGTTTTCAGTTACCGCCCAGCCCCATTCTGTGCTGTTTCTTTCAATACCTCCCCCTCATCCTGCCCAGGGCTTGGCACTCTGCCTTCCTCCTGGCAGTGGTGCCAAGGTACGTGCTAACACAGCAATTGGCTTAACACATGATACTCCTCCCTTTTGTGTCACAAGAAAAAGATTTTAATCTTCCCTGGGGCTTTCTGGAAACCATGCCTTAATCTGGATTCTAGAAAAATGCTTTTAATGGTGGTAATTTTGGTCACTAAGGCACACATCAAATCTCAGGATGATGGTATCTGCCGTCTTAGCCAATGTGCGGTCAACTCCAGGAAACTGGGGGAGGCTCAGGATTGAAGATTTAATCTTCACTGCTGTTTTCTAAGCCTGTTTTTATCTTTTGTTTTCAGGAGAGGCCATTCCCCTGGTACTGGCCCTGTTTGCCTTTGTTGGCTTCATGCTGATCCTTGTGGTCGTGCCACTATTCGTCTGGAAAATGGGCCGGCTGCTCCAGTACTCCTGTTGCCCCGTGGTGGTCCTCCCAGACACCTTGGTAATAGAGTAGTTCTTTATTCCTTTCAGTGTAACACTGACCAGATGTAGCTTGGACCTTAGCTGGGCATGGACACGTTTCCATGTTTCCATCATGAGATTATAGGCATCTGCACAGAGAGGGGAGAGGAATACTTACAAAAGACTTCATTTCTAACTAGAGATACTGGAAGAAATCTCCCTTCTCCAGGGCGTGGTGACCTTCCTGAGGCAGGCCACCTCTGCTCTCTCCCAGGGCCTGGGATGGCAAAGAGAGAAGATGTGTTGCCCAGCCCAGGATGCTCAGCATTGCAGGAGTCACTCATGGTCTTTCCCTCCCAGACTGGCCTGCTGAGCATTCTTGGCCTCTTCCCACAATTGTAACAGCAACTACACCCAATAACATGTTCCAACCCAACTTATTCAATTCACATGCCAAAAGCCTCATTGTTCTCAGAGTGAAGATGTACATGGGAGGCATGGACTGTGCTTTGATTTTGGTGGGATAGGGTGGGGTGAAGGGACAACGATCTGGACCTTCATAGTGAGTGCCTGAGGTTAGGAGACCCTACCTGTATTCTCAGATCCTCATGAGGCCAGAATTCTTATCTTACTCCTGAGGGCCCTGGACCACAGGTCTGGGTCTCTCCAGTGGGTATAGGACCCATGCACCCATACAATGGTGGGGGAAACCCAAAAGCAGGCCTCCAGCAGCTCCCCCATGTTCTCTGGCTGCCTCTGCAGATGTTTCACCCCAACCCCCAGACCTCAACCACACAAAGTAGTGCAACAAAGCAAAACAAAACAAAAACAACAAAAACGAAATGAAAAAGCCCCATCCCTGTCACCCTAGGGAATTCTCACAGTTCTCTCCTGGGAGGAGGGAGCCAGTGTCAGCTTCTGGAAAGCAACTAAAGCCAGAACTGTCTGCAACTTATACATGCCCATAGCTCCTTATCAGTCTGGAGTCACTGTTTCTGAAAGGAGTCATCCTCGTGACATCTCTGAGGCCCTGCTTTCTCGCCCTACACAGGAGGAATAATTCTCACTATAAATCAGTCTTCGGGACACCCCTCCACTCTGTTATCCTAATGCCAGATCTCCCTTCTCTCCCATACTTCCGGGTAGTCATAACGACAGAGCTAAGTGCCAGATACTGTTCGAAGGCTTTATATTTATTGAATCATTTCTTGTCATAAAGTTTGGCAGTGTCCTTTTTATCAGTTCCCCCTCCATCCTTCTCTGAATCACTGAATGACTTACTGCTATGCATAAAGGCAGTGGGATATATCAAATCCTGGGAAAGAGGGTGGGCCTTTATTATCCTTCAGCAAGAATGTGAGGGTCTCAAAGTACCTTGAAGCATGAAAGGATATGTATTCTGCAGTTATTGGGGAAGTGTTTTATAAATATCAATTAGGTCAGAATGTCTCATGGTATTGTTCAGATCATCTTTGTCTTTTTTTTTTGTACAGTTGTTTTAATATTGAGAGTAGTATATCAAAATGCCACTATGAGTGCGGGCGTGTTTGTTTCTCTCTCTCTCTTTCTTTCTTTTTTTTTTTTTTTTTCTGAGACGGAGTTTCACTGTTTTCGCCCAGGCTGGAGTGCAGTGGCGCAGTCTTGGCTCACTGCAACCTCTGCCTCCTGAGTTCAAGCAATTCTCCTGCCTCAGCCTCCTGAGTAACTGGGATTACAGACGCCTGCCACCATACCTGGCTAATTTTTGTATTTTTAATGGAGACAGGAGTTTCACCATGTTGGCCAGGCTGGTCTTGAACTCCTGACTTCGTGATCCACCTGCCTTGGCTTCTCAAAGTGTTGGAATTACAGGTGTGATTCACCATACCTGGCCTGTTTCTCTCTTTATGTCAAATTTTCCTTAATGTATTTTGAGGCTCTGTTTTAAGTGTATTCACATTTTGACATTTAAGTGTATTCAAATTTTGTTATGATTTCCCAAGTAATGGAGTCTTTTATCATTATGATATGCTCTTCTTTACCTCTGGTAATATTTCTTAGTGTGATACCAGTATATCCTTTTTTTTCTATATTTTTACTTTAAATCTATCTGTATATTTATATTTAAGGTGTGTCTCTTATAGACATCATATAGTCATTCTTTTCTATTATTATTTTTTGGTACAAATCCATTCTGATAATCTCTGCCTTTAAACTGGTATTTTAGTCCACTAACTTTTTTTTTTTTTTTTGAGATGGAGTCCCGCTCTGTCACCCAGGCTGGAGTACAGTGGCATGATCTTGGCTCACTGCAACCTCTGCCTCCCGGGTTTAAGGAATTCTCCTGTCTCAGCCTCCCGAGTAGCTGGCACTACAGGTGCATGCCACCACACCTGGCTAATTTTTGTATTTTAGTAGAGACGGGGTTTCACCGTATTGGTCAGGTTGGTCTTGAGTTCCTGACCTCAGGTGATCCACCCAGCTTGGCCTCCCAAAGTGTTGGGATTACAGGTGTGAGCCACTGTGCCCGGCCTCCATTAAATTTAATCTAATGATTGATATGGTTGAATTTAGGTCTATGATTTTATTTTCTGTTTTTTTCCCCCCTTCTGTTCTTTTTCTGCTTCTTTTTGGGCTAATTAAATTTTTTTTTTGAATTTCACTTTAGTGGCTTTTCAGTTATTCTTCTTCACATTACTTTTTCATGGTTGTCCTAGGAGTTACAATATACATATTCTTAACTTTTCACAGTCTACTTAGAATTAATATTATATCATTTCACATGAAATGTAAGAATCTTGGAATAATTTTTGCTTTACATAGTCATATATATTTTTAAGGTATTTAAAATAATCTTTTATATTTACCCACATATTTACCATTTCTGGAACTCTTTCCTCTTTTCTGAGATCTGCATTTCCATCTGGTATGGGCTTCCTGTCATTTTATAGAACTTCTTGTCTTTTTTCTGTCATAGGTTTAGTAATGTAGATCTGCTAGTGACAAATTCTCTTAGATTTCTTTTATCTGAAAATGTCTTTATTTTGCTTTCATTCTTGAAGGATATTTTTGCTGGATTCTTGGTTGACAATTTTTCTTACTATATTTTTATTTTAAATATTAATTGTAATATTTCAAAAGTAATAACATTTTATTTTAATAGAGATGGCATCTTGCTATGTTGCCCAGGCTAGTCTGGAACTCCTGGGCTTAAACAATCCGCTTTCTCGGCCTCCCAAAGTGCTGTGATGACATGTGCGAGAGCCACTGCACCCAGCTCTAACTACTTTAAAAGTGTTGTTTAATTGTCTTCTAGCTTACATTGTTTCTGATAAGTAAATAGCCATGATTTTTTTAACATCATTCCCCTATGTGAATAGGTTCTCTTTCTCTTGCTGATTTTTTTTTTTTTTTTTTTGAGACGGAGTCTCGCTGTGTCTCCCAGGCTGGAGTGCAGTGGCGTGATCTCGGCTCACTGCAAGCTCCGCCTCCCGGGTTCACGCCATTCTCCCGCCTCAGCCTCCCAAGTAGCTGAGACTACAGGCGCCCGCCACCACGCCCGGCTAGTTTTTTGTATTTTTAGTAGAGACGGGGTTTCACCATGTTAGCCAGGATAGTCTCGATCTCCTGACCTCGTGATCCACCCGCCTCGGCCTCCCAAAGTGCTGGGATTACAGGCTTGAGCCACCGCGCCCGGCCTCTCTTGCTGATTTTAAATTACCATTGGTTTTCACCGGTTAAATTATAACATGCCTAGATGGGGTTTGCATTATATTTATCTTGCTTATAGTATATTGAGCTTCTTGAATCTGTAAATGTGTATATTTTTAAGCTACAATTTGGAAAAATGTCAGCCATTTTTGTTTTTCTTTTTGTTTTTTTAGAGACAGGGCCTCATTCTGCCACTCAGGCTGGAGTGCAGTGGCGTGATCATGGCTCACTGCAGCCTTGACCTTCTGGGTTCAAGTGATCCTCCCACTTCAGCCTCTTGAGTAGTTTGGACTACAGGCATGTGACAGAGCAACCAGCTAATTTTTAATTTTTTTGTAGAGACAGGGTCTTGCTATGTTGTCCAGGTTGGTCTTGAACTCCTGGGCTCAAGCAATCCTCCCACTTTGGCCTCCCAAAGTGCTGGGATTATAGGCATGAGCCACTGCGCCTGGCCACAGCTAATTATTTTATTTTTTGTAACAATGGGGTTCTCTGTATGTTGCCCAGGCTCGTCTGGATCTCCTGGGCTCAAGTTATATCCCACTGCCTTGGCCTCCCAAAGTGTTGAGCTTAATAGACATGAACCACTGCTCCCAGCCCATATTTCTTCAGATTTTCTTTTTTTCTCATTCTCTTCTCTCCTTCTGTGAGTCCAATCTTATTTATATTAGACCTTCAGATATTGTCTCCATAGATCCCTGAGGCGCCATTTGTTTTTATAAAAAACTTCTTTTCCTCTTCTTTATTCTTCAGATTGAATAATTTTATTAACCTATCTTCTTGTTCCCTGACTCTTCTGTTATCACCAGTCTGATTTTAGGCACGTCTAGTGAATTTTGTATTTAAATTTCAGTTATTGTATTTTTCAATTCTAGAATTTCCATTTGTTTCCTTTTTATAGTATATATTCTCTGCTGAGATTTTCTATTTGGTCATTTATTATGAGACTATTTTCTTCTGTCTTTGAGCATCATTATAATACCTTTGTCTGCTTTACTTTAAAATCTTTGTTAATTTCACTAGGTGGGTCATGTCAAGGTTGGCCTTTATTGATTGTTTTGTATTTGGTATAGGTCACATTTTCCTATATTTTGTATGTCTAGTGATTTTGGATTATAGTCTGGATACTGCCAAAAATATGTTACAGAGATTTTGGATTCTGTCATGTTCCTCTGAAAACTATTGTTTGTTTTGTTTTGTTTTGTTTGTTTGTTTATTTGCTTTAGTAAGCAGTTAGTTTGGAAGACAGACTCAACTTTGGTCTCCTATGCAGTAGGCAGTTGATATCTATTAGACTGTTTAGCCTTAGACAGACTGGTAGGAGCTTTCCCCACACCTGCACCTCACACA